ACCGACCAAAAAAAAAAGCTTAGGGACAGTGCCTAGAACCAGAGTTCAAGCTCCAGGACCAGAAAAAACATTACAAGTACTTTGGAAATTTTTTTTTAATTTTATTTTATTTGTGAACATGCTGTACAGAGGAGTTACAATTACATGGGCAGGATAATGCGTACATTTCTTACCAAGCATTGCAGCCTCCTCCTTTGTTTACCCTTCACATCCCTTCCCAGCCTCCCCCCTCCCCCCCAATCCCAATCCTTCTCCTTCCCCCCCCTTCCCCCACCCCCCACCCCACCGACGTTGTAAAGCTCGTTTTGGACATGACAACTTGTACTTCTCATTGTTGCAACAGGTCCACCTGTATCCTTAAACAACTGGTTTTTCCCCATCTCCTCCACAAGTTATACTGACATCAAATACAGTGAAAGCAGGGGTTATACTGTGGGGGAGGGACATACAAAGCAACAAAGAGATAATCTTATAAATGCATTAGAGACACATGCATGAAAGAAAAAACATTAAAATACATATCTAAGGGTTCATTTTCCTGACATCACCTTATCTGACCTTTTCCGCTTGACTCATACATATACTAGATATTGCAAATAAGGGAAACCATGGGACCTATGTTTCTTTGGGCCTGGCTTACTTCACTTAATATAATTTTTTCCTACTTTGGAAATTTTTCTGAAAAGTGAGGTACGTATACAAAATTGGTTCGGGTGACGATGAGATGGATGAGGGAGATAATGCTGCAAGGAGTGTCAGTGATCAAAAGTATTGATCATTATACTCATAAATTGATCAAAAGTATTGATCATTATACTCATAAATTGATCAAAAGTATTGATCATTATACTCATAAATTGTGTTGAATTGAAAACTTCTTGTGCAACTACTTAAAGATAATGAAAAGGAAAAAGGAAAATAAGAAAATGCTTTATAAATATAACAAGAGCAGGCCTAAATATACTATAGAATTACTTAAAATCCTACAACGTGTGATACTCACTAGATACTGTTGGAAATAAACTATACAACTTGGGGTGAGGGGACTCTGGAGGGAAAAAACTGAGGGAGGGAAGGACACGGCTCAAAAAGAAATGTACTCATTAGCTGGTGTATGTAATAATAACCACTCTACATCACCTTTATAATAAAAATTAAATTAAAAAGCCTTGAAACTGTTGGGTTTTTTGGTTCTGATAGAACTCAGGGCCTCGAATATACTATTATAATATCACTAACCATGTCCCCAGCTCCGAACAAACAAATGTTTAAAAAATATTTTAGTTTGAATCAACTATACAACATATTTTCATATTTTATCCTCTGTACTTCTTACTCACTTGCCCATTCTTCACTCTTATTCAACCCTTCCTTCCTCTGCTGATCTTCCTCTCCCAAATTGTCCCCTTTCATGTCTATAAAAAATGTAGAGTCTACAAATGGGAGAAAACATATATTTGTCTGAATCTATTTCACATAATACCATGACTGCCAGTTCTATTAACTTTCCTATAATTTGATTTCATGTTTTTTTCTCTTGCCCACAGTTTATTTAACAATATGATATAATGAATTGATACTTTACCATTCTATACCATGATTGAATCTTCAATTTTCTGATTTATACTAATTATAGCACTTGCATGATTTACACTAGAATTGCTTTTCCTCGTTTTAAGAAATGAATGCTTCTCTATGAGCATTAGCATGGTCCAAGGGATGGATCATCCCTATGATTTCACTTTTTATAGTTGAATAATATTCTCTCGTGTGTGTGTGTGTGTGTGTGTGTGTGTGTGTGTGTGTGTGTGTGTGTATCTCAATCACATTTTTTTTTGTCATGGGGCTTGAAGTCTGGGCTTGGGCGCTGTCCTTGTGCTCCTCAGTCAAGGCAAGTGCTCTACTGCTTGAGCCACAGCACCACTTCCGGTTTTTCTAGTGGTTTATTTGAGATAAGAGTCTCACGAACTTTCCTGCCCGGGCTGGCTTTGAACCGTGATCCTCAGATCTCAGCCTCCTGAGTAGTTAGGATTACAGGCGTAAGCCACCGGTGCCTGGCTCTCAGTCACATTTTCTTAAAATCCATTTATCTGTTAACGGTTGATCATGACTGACCAGGCTAATTTCATGACTAGACAATTGCGAATAGTGATGCAATAGTGATGTAGTTACCTGTGCTGTAGGCTGGCTTTGATTTCTCCAATACACAGGTGGTCCTAGTTTTCTTTGTTTAGGAACTTTCATATTGATTTCCATAATAAGTGAACTAATTTACATCCCACCAACAATGTTTTAGAGTACCTCAAAAGAACTAGAAACAGAGGATTTACCAGTGGACAAATTCACTGTGAGCCATACAGAAAAAAGTGTGCTCCCATGGCAGCAATACCATTTAGGTCTCCCCAAATCTAGGTCAGAAGGAGAGGCGTGGGTATGGCTTAGTACAAAAAGGACTTCATCCTAACTCAGTGTGGCTGGTTTTATCTTAAATTTACATCAACATCTCAGCTACATCCTGGAGCTAGAGTCTGGCTGTAAAGCTCTGCATACCACCCCAATGGCTTATTTTTCAATTATCCATAATTTTTATTAGCATCATTTAGTTGCACAAAAAGGTTTCGTTCTGATGTCTAGATGTGTATATGTACAGTGTACCTAGGTCTGACTCACTACTTCTGTCACTCTCCATCCTCTCCCCCAGCTTCCCAAACCAGCTTCAACAGGTTTCACTGTTCCACTTTCACACATGCACATGAAATATTTCAACCATAGTTAGTATTCTTCCATTTACCTCCCACCTTAAACTAGCATTTACTTCTCTCACAGGTCTTGTGTTACATTCTTATAATTCATCTTAAGTGTATATTAATTGCTTTAATTCAGACATATATTCAAATAGTGCCCACACTCAATTTTCTTCTCCCCTTCCCTCCTGTTTCTCAACAGCTTTTAGTGAGCTTCATTTTGCCATTTTCAAACAATACTGTAGTATATTTCAGTACTGTTCACTTTCTAACATTACCCACCCAATGTCTCTAAACCAATGAATTAATTAATTAATTAATGTTGTATATACATGTGATGGTAGATGAATCACCTGTGTCAAATTGTTTCTATTAGAGGTCATTAATTTCAATGTGGTATTATTGGATCAATATACCTGTTTTTCCACCTAGGACTTTGCTTCATCTCCTACCTGTATAAAACACTACTGGGCTCTGTGTAAAATTCATCAGAATCATGGACAAAGACAGGTGCATGCCTTCCCTCAGAAAATCTCAGGGTATCACCCACTTCATCAGGACAGCAGCCAGACAACTGCAATGCCCCTTTTCCATAGAAATGAATGGGTAAAACTGACAGTGAGGAAAATGTAAGAGGAACTGACATCCCGATATTCTCACAAGCTTCAGCATGTTAACTAACCAGGGTCCTTTTAGTTACACACGTTTTTAAAGGGAAGCATTTTTCCTTTTCTTTCTCACTCGCCTCTCCCCTCACCACTTGCCATTCCCCAAAAGAGGGGATTCAAGATGGTTTTTATAGTTCCAAGCAAGGTCACTATGCACCTCTCCTTATCTTGCTTACCAGAGTACTGAAGGACCATTCAGGACAAGGACTCCATTTCTGAAGACTAATGAACAGCACATTTAGAAATAAGCAGGCCCAAGACCACCATTCGGCTGAATACCAGGCCTCAGCACTTAAATCCATCAGAAAGTCCAAGTTCCTGGGCCTTTCTATAAAAGCTGTCCTTGTTGGGCTGGGAAGGTGGCTCAGTGGTAGATTGCTTGCCTTGCATGCAAGAGGCCCTGGGTTCAATTCCTCAGCACCAAATAAGGAAAAAAAAGAAAGCCGGAAGTGGCCCTGAGGCTCAAGTGGTAGAGTGCTAGCCTTGAGCTGAAGAGCTGAGGGACAGTGCCCAGGCCCAGAGTTCAGGCCCTATGACTGGAGCAAAAAAAAAAAAAAATCTGTCCTTGCAAGGTCCCAGAGGCGCATGTCTGTAATCCTAGATACTCAGGAGACTGAGATCTAAGGATCACCATTTGAAGTCAGCCTGGGGAAGGAAAGTCCATAGGACTCAGCTGAAGTAGAGCACTATCCTGGAGCACACAAAAAAAGTTTAGGGATAGTATATCAGGATATCAGGCAGAGTTAAAACTCTAGAACTGGGGACAGGAGGGAAGCTGTCTTTGCTAGGTGCTAGCAGCTCATACCTGTAATTCCAGCCACTCAGGAGGCTAAGATCTGAGGACTGAGGTTTGAAGCCAGCCCAGGCAGGAAAGTCCATGAGACTCTTCTCTCCAATTAATCACAGAAAAAGTTGGAAGTAGAGCTTTGGCTCAAGTGGTAGAGCACTAGCCTTGAGCACAAAAGCTCAGGGACATTACTCAAGCCCAGAATTCAAGCCCCAGGACTAGAAGGGGAAAGAAGCTTCCTTCTCCTACCCACCAGGATGTGCATCTTTCTCAGACATTAGCTCAAATAGTTCTCATTTTACCTCCAAGTTAATAAACTTTTATTTCCTTTACTCTAAGACATTAATCTCATTTGTGAATTGACATTGAATTCAAGGGTCTGAATTTCCAGTAATGTGGGAAATGTTGAAGTTCCAGACAAGAGCTATCTTAGACTACAAAGCCATGTGAAACAGCACAAATTCCAGAGCAAAGTCCAAATTTGCAAAACTATCAACCATGTGGACTTCAAGTAGTGGTCTCCAAAAAAAAAAAAACAGGTAATGTCTGGGTTCAAGGGGGGAAGGCACAGGAAATGGATGGAAGGTTGAGTAGGTTTACTTGGAGGTAGGAAACTAGAAGGCCCAGGAGTAAAGGATTTGCTGAGCTAGCAGCAGGGGAAGGCTTTGTTACACATCACTCCTCCCCCTTTGTGACTTACTAGAAATCCAGGCCTTTGTGATGTAGGCCTTCATTTACTATAAATGGCCAAAGGAAACTCCCAGAGCTCAGTTGCTCAAGAGCAATAGTGCGATCCAGATGATGGAGAATCTTCTCTTGTCACTGAAAAGCATTCATATACCATGGCTGAGCCCTGACCTCATCACTTTGGCAATGGATATGATCCTTGCCATTGTATGTGGAGTGGGGCTCTTCCTCCTGCTACTACTACTGCCCTGCTTCAAGGGAAATCCATCCTCACCAACACCTAAGAAAAAGAAGAAACTAAGGAAGGTAAGACACCCCCCCAAAGGGGTACAATTATAGACAATGGAATTTTACTACTCCATTTGAAAGTGATATTGTACCATGTGTTAAAAAAGACTTGGAAAAATTATGTTAAGTGAAGTAAGTCAGGCCCAGAGACAAAGGATCCATGTTTTCTTAGATTTAGCTCACAAACTCATAAGTAAATCTGTTGGATGATATACAAGTGGCTAGAAATATATTAAATGAAATATAGATTCAAGGGAGATGGTAGATTCCAAGTTCAGCAAAATGTTCAAGTACTAGCTGTACTTGAAAGGGTTGGGTGAAGGGGAAAAAGGAGTAGATGGAGAAGAGAGAAAATGCAGACAATCCAATGTATATCTTACAAAATTAAGAGTGAAGGAAGAGATGGGTCAGGGAGGGGTGGGTGTGAATGGTGTGACATTAATCAAGATATATTGTATTCATAAGCTGTTAAATGGCAACTTCTTTGTACAATTAAAAGATAATTTTTTAAATGTTAGTATCTCTACTGATGTTTCCACCTCTCCAAGACCATGGAGAGGGGAAGTCACAGGAAAGGAGAGAGAGCATCCTTCTAGGTGCTGGCAGAACAGGGCAGGGTGAGAGGATGAGGTCATCTACTGAGCCATCAGGCCGCCTGTGTGGTATGCAGCAAACACCAGGGCAGTCAAACCCTGAAACTCAGCAACCAAGGACTGGGCTCCTGAGAGTGAGGAATTGAGAAAGGACTGTGTACCACACCTTTCCCCAGTGTAGGGCTGATCCAAAGGCTCACACCTATAATGTGATCTGAGGATCACGGCCTAAGCTCTTGGTAAATCAGAAGCGAGAATCGCCTCTGGACTTAGGAGGCAAAAACTTATCTTGCCAGCTGAGAGCTGAATGTGTGATCCTGAGCAGAGAAATGGTACTGATGCCCTGTGTGGTAAGTCTTTACTCCATATAGAAATCCCAATGATATTCCAAGGGAGACAGACAGAAAATCATTTTTGCCACACTAAAATAAAAGAAATGAAAGGACATAGGTGAAGACAGAATGTCGTTTTATCCAGGAGCAGTGAATAGTTAGTTTTGTCTAGACAGAGAAGGGAAAAGGAGTCTTAAGACTCTTTCTTGTTTCTCATCACATGGAGAAGCGACACTTCAAGAACAGGAAGAAACGTGGAACTCTGAAAGGTAGGCTCTGCCCTTTCTCCCAAGGGGATTTTGATCTCACCTGTCTCTGACAACCAGAGCCAGGTCACAAGGGATGTCAGTTTGTTAGTCCTTCGGGGGAATTTCCAGTCAAGACTGGAGACACTAAGCTGGGCGCCAGTGGCTCACGCCTGTAATCCTAGCTACTCAGGAGGCTGAGATCTGAGGATCACAGTTCAAAGCCAGCCTGGGGCAGGAAAGTCCATGAGGCTCTTATCTCCAATAAAAACCGCCAGAAAACTGGAAGTGGCACTGTGGCTCAAGTGGTAGAGCGCTATTCTTGAGCTGAAGAGCTGAAGGACAGTGCTCAGGCCCAGAGTTCAAGCCCCATGACCAAAAAAAAAAAAAAGACTGGAGACTCTTCTCAGGAGCTCTGCTTGGAATGAGGCTGTGATGTGCCAAGGGCTGGGGGTGGCACAAAGTGGGGAGGGGCTAAGAGGCTATGGCCCACATGTGGACCTACTCCCTTCCCTAAGAACTATGTTAGAGATGAGGGGTCCTATCTCCCTGTCCCCCAAGAGAGGTTCTACAGGTCATGGAGACTGGCAGAGTTGAAAGTACCTTATAAACAAAGCACTACCCCTCCCTATGCCCTATTAGCACTGCCACCAGTCATGTGGCCATGACCACTGAGACTTGGGATCCAGTATGATCTTCTATGTTTTTTTAATAGAGGGATGTTTGTCTCCTGTAAGATCCAGGGACCCTCTCTTGTTTGCTATAACCACCGTCTCTGTTTCTAGCTTGCAAAGACACTCGAGAACACCTTGAAGAGATTCATGATCTAGTTTCCCTTCTGAGTTGGTAAGGATTTTCCAGCTGTCCCTGTGCCTGCATTTCTACTCCAGGGTTGCAATGGGGATGGGAAAAGACTTTCCAGGTACGGAGGATGGGATATGACTGAAGCCCCAGCCTATAGAGCCGGAGAAGGGAGACTACAGAGAAGAGAGCTCACAGCTGCAATCCTAACTACTCAGAAGGCTGAGATCTAGGATCACAGTGTGAAGCCAGCCAGGACAGGAAAGTTCATGAGATTATCTCCAATTACAAACACACACACACACACACACACACACACACACACACACACAAGCAAAGCCAGAAGTTGAGTTTGTGGCTCAAGTGGTAGAGTGCTAGCCTTCAGCACAAAAACTCAGGGACAGTGCTCAAGCCCTGAGTTCAAGCCCCAGGATTCATTCTCTGTCTCTCTCATACACACACACACACACTCACCCACCCATACCACACACAATAAGGGGGTGGTTCTGTGTGCTATGGACTTGCCCATCCTCCTGGGCCTGTTGCTGAATAAAATGTCTCCTGTCTCCTACAGCTACCTAGGGCAGCTCCATGATACCAGAAGCTTTCAGCATTTCTTAAAAGGAGGTGCCCTAAGTGAAATTTTCAACTCAGAATCTACTACCTCCCCGCCATCAGCTAGGTACTATGAGGACGACACATTCTCCAGCACCATGTCCTCAGAAGTTTCCCCAGCTCCTTCACCCAAGGCTTTGCAGCCTCTGGACTCTACCTGGTCACCAGTCCAGATGGGTTCCTCAGTTTCTACTGAGTCACACACATCCCAGAGTGTGTCTCAGCCTCCGCAGCCACTGATTGCTCTAGGAGAACATCTATCGTGCTCACCTGCACATTCTTCTCCCCATTCTCATTCTCCTCAACCTGTGGTCTACTTTCCATCCAGGCCTACTTCAAACCTGGGTCTTCCTCTATATAACATCATAGAAGTCCCACCAGAAACCTCTCCAATCAATGGCTCTAGGGTGCCTTCTCCTATCCCAGCCTTCAACTCCGACATCCTGGAGATGCTGGAGATAGTAATTAGTAAGAGGGCAAAGCTGAAAGCTTGTCAGGAAAGAGAACACCGTCTGGATTCTCTGGGGAACATGATGAAGTCACTGGGTGCTGCACAAGACACTGCCATGCCAGAGCCTTTCTGGAACACAAAACCAGAGCAGCTTCCTGATTCCCAGGAGTATATTTTCTTGGGGGAACACTTACAACCGAAATGCAGCCAGCTGTTCTGGGGCCTTCCGTTTCTTCACAGTGAGTCCCTGGTGGCTCCTGTGAGGCTGTCTGGTCATCCACTAGACTTACCCTCTATTTTATTCAATGGATTGTCTAGCTACATTCCAATACAAGTCCAGCCTAATATACAGCCACAACTGTTTCCATCCCAGCCTTTGCTACACCACTTATTACAATCCCAAGCTTTGACTCCACCAGTGGCTGAGACCCAAGCCCATGCCCATCTTCCATCTTGTACACCAATGCTACCATGCCACTCATCTCCAGTTTCTAGCCCTACAACACAGGATGGTAACAAATGTATGATTCCACCTGTCATTCAGCAGCTAGAATGTCACCTTCTGAAGAAGCACAAGGAAAGTCAGAGAGCTTTACCCCCTGCAGTTAAACAGTCTCTCAAGGTCTTTAACCACAACCAGGGCTCTCCAGACCAGAGACACTTGGTCAACTTCCCAGGGGATCTTATTAGTTTTGAGTTCCAGAAAAAGCTGGAGCATCACCTCCAAGAGAGGTTCACACAGCACTGCTATAGAACACAATGCATGATCCAACTGTCTCCTGACAAACTGCCAGGGAGAGGCCAGGCAGACAAGAGCTGCCAGGCTACAGAGAAAGCCATCTCAGACTGCCCAGCAGCAGCATTCCCCAGGTGGAAGAAGGGACCTTGTCTGAGCAGAGTCGTTAAAGAGATAGATACAGAAAGCTCAGAGGATGCTCTAGATTCCTTCACTGACTTGACTGAATCATTTCTTGGCTCAAGCAGTGATTCAGATTATGTTTGCCCCATGCATTCAGACAAGTGTCGTCCGGAAGACCTGCTCCAAATCCATGCAAACAGGGAATGGGGGCAGATCAATGCCGGCAAGGTCCCTGTGACAGCGAATCAGCCCAGGGGCGTTCTAGACTCCCACTCAAGCCTGGAAACGGAGGGGGCCCCCGGCACCAGCTCCCCGCAGGCCACCCACTTCGATGCAGCTGCTCGCCAGCTGCTGGAAGCGCACATCAGGAAGCTCTGGGTGAGGCACAAGTGGGGCCTGTTCCTGAAGGTCCTCAAGTCCTTGAATCAGCTGACTTTGAAAAGGGCTTCGCCCGTGTCAGTGTCTCAGGAAGCTTCTCAGAACGTGGCCTGTAAGGACGTGAAGCCAAACCCTACAGTGAAGGGGGTCGAGGTCCCCGGAGAAGCTTGTCCCAGAGCGCCGGAGAAGGAGACAGGGAAGACGGAAGGCGCAGCCGCCCCGACTGCCCTCCCCTCCCCTCTGCTCGAGTGTCTGCGGAGGATCCTCTGCAGTTATGCCCAGGCGCCCACCGAGGGAGCGCCACTTGAACAGGAAGGTGAACCGCCTTCTCAGCCCAAACCTTACAGCCTTGTGGGAAGATCCTGGCACAGAGACATTGCGCCCAGGTCCGAAGCTAGCAGTGTAGAGCCCGTGACAAGCCCCCGAACAGATCGATCAGAATCCCCAAAGACAGCCAGCCTCTGCCACAGTGTCTCCATACGAGAGGTCTTTGTGGAGTCCACGCCTGGAAGAACAGACGAATTCAGGGAAATGGCAGAGGATGAAGAGGAAGAGCCCAATTACGTGACAGACGTGGACTCCAGTCATCTGAACCTGCGAAGTCTGGAAGTGCTGAGAGCCACTCAAACGGCACTCCCCGCCTCCAGAATTTCTAAGCACCCACGAGAGCCAGGCCTGCAAGGACAGGCAGAGTCCAGCGGTCCAAGTCAAAGCCCACCTTTGGATGTCATCCTGCAGGACTGCGAGACTGATGCATTCCTGCACAACTGTGGGCCTGAAGTGCTGTTTTCTGCGCACATGCTGCCCTCCCGCAGCTCTCTGGGTAGCTCCCGGAACTTCTCCGGGAGCAGCACATCCATTTATAATCCCTGCCTTGCGTTACCAAATGGAGGGGACGTCCCGAAACAGCAAGAGTCGGAGACATCTGAGCAGCAAGACCCATGGTACAGCCAGATGTTCAGTGAACCTGATGAGGAAGAGAGCCTTGAGAGGCCCAGAATAAGGATCCAGGAGGTAAAGACGGAAGAAACGGAGCCCTCCCACGGCCAGAAGTCGAGCTCACCTGCCCAGGTCAGGAGACCAAGCTCCACGAGGAAGAGATCTTGTCTCCCTGAGCCGGAGAAAGAGCAGCCTCCTCCAGAGAGTCAGTTTTTTGGCAACCGGATAAGGAATTTTTTTATGTCTTTTTTCCCTGGTAAGGGAAAAAGCCAGGCAGATTCCCCGCAGAAGTCCAAGATCCAATCAACCAGTACCCAGACCCAAGATGTACCCACAAGCAATACGTTTGAGAGCAGTGGATTGTCTGAAACCCAGACGCTCATGAGCAATGTTGCACGGATCCTGGAGAAGGTTGGATGTCAACATGAACGTTCTCTCTCCAAGAAAACTGTGTACAAAGAATTCCAAGCCCCCATGGAGAGACATTCCCACTACCACGCGGCTTCCTACCTGGAACAATGCCCAGTTAGGAATAGTAAAGTCTGTCACCACCAAAGGAGCCCCATTGGCCACCGCCATCCTGTCAGTGACAGGAGAGTCAGCTACTGGGATAGCAGGGGGACATCCTTGCTTCCCCGAAGGCCTGTGTCTCTCGTCAATAGTCCCTGCCAACAGAGGCGAACGGGTACAAACATCTCAGGCCACCACGTCCACTGCCCACGGCACTGTCAGGTCGCTGGTGTCCTCTGTGGCCATACATGCCACCCCTCTCATGTAGTCTCTTGTGGGGTGTATTTTCCTCAGGATAATTTCCAACCCATGAGTAGTAATACTATCGTTTTCATATGAGTCCATCCTCTGTCAACGGATGACTATTTCTTTCACCGATATGTATTGCTTCTTAATAAATTTGCTCATGAGATGTAGTGACTTCTCTCTTTGCTACGAACTGGGATAGAGATGGTCAATATGTGGTCTTCCTCAAAGCAGCTTCTAAGAAGGGATGGGTACCCTCAGCCCACATTCCCTAAATGCACCATTTTTTTTCTTTGTGACTCAAAAAAATCTATTTTTTTATTTTCATTTATTGTGAAAATACTGTACAGAGGGGTTACAATTCCACGGGCAAGATAATGAGTACATTTCTTATCAAGCATTGTAGCCTCCTTTTGTTTCCCCTTCCCATCCTTCCCCCAACCCCCCCACCCAACCCTCCCCGCTACCTCCCCCCACCCCACCCCACCCCCCCACACACCGAAGCTGTAAAGTTCATTTTTCGACATAACGACTTGTACATCTCATTGTTGCAATGGGTCCACCTGTGTCCACCTGTAACCCTATTTAAACGGTTTTTCCCCTCCCCCTCCACAAATGATACCGACATCAAATACAGTGAAAACAGGGGTTATACTGTGGGGGAGGGACATACACAGCAACAAATAAATCTTATAAATGTGTTAGAAACAATCACATGAAAGAAAAAAACATGAAAGAAAAACATTTGAATGCATATCTTAGGGTTCATTTCCCTAACATCACCTTATCTGACCTTTTCTGCTTGACTCAGACATATACTAGATATTGCAATAAGGGAAACCATCAATGCACCATTTTTATACCACAGAAACTTTAGAAAGCCTTTAGGATTTGTGCTAAAGAAGCCTGGGAAGACAGCCTACCACAATGTTCTTCAGCCTGATGAACTTCATTCAGTTGGAACGTCTTGCATGCACCTTGTGGCTGCTAACAAAGTCACAGAGACTCTCAGCCCCTGAATACTAGGGTTCAGTGGGGAGGGCAATGCTGTGAATCACTTCTAGTGATCCTGCCAGCTCCTTTGTTCTCCTTTGGGCAACTGGAGCTGGGGTTCCATGGAATTTCCAGCAAGCAGAGGCAGACCTGGAAGCTATTCTCCAGAAGAGTGAATCCTAGAAATTTTTAAGAGGCTAAACTATTTTTCCACCTAAGCCTTGTCTGAACCTGAGTCACATGGGGCAAGATTTTGTCTACAATTCAGGTTAATTCACCTTCGTGAGTTAGAGTAAGAATCTTTTTTTTTAATATTGTAAAAATAGAGGGATTACAGTTACATTACAAGGTAATGAGTACGAACAAAAAAGCTGAGTCTAGTCTGGTGCGTGCACACACAAAAACTCTTTCAGCCTGAAGTGAAATCGGGAAACTGTTACACATGTAAGAAACATCTTTCAGTGATATACAAGAAATCTATGGACTCAGGCAATCTACACCAGAAACTTCCTACACGTAGAGGGTAGGCCCCTTCTGGAAGTAAAGTTGAAGTGCTGCTCAAAACTAGACCTTTTACTCTGCATTCTTATAAATCCATATGCCATTTTGAATAAAACAGAAAACAGATGCTGACCTACCCCAAAGAGGGTATTGAGTTTAGTGGTGTCTGGATCAGAGTAGCTATAGCATACTGAAGTCTTGGAAATGTGTGGAGACAGGAGCAGGCAATTGTTCCCCGTTCATCAGATGATACCACATCGTCTTCTGCTCTTCCGAAAGCTACCACCATACATTTGAGACAAGCTCTGAGCCAATTAGTTACATTAAAGAGCTCTATGCCTTAGGCCATAGGCACATTTTACCTGAATCTTGTTACCTTTTGGCAGGGACTTTTTGTCAAACAGTTTGAAAAAAATCCTGGCTTTAAAACTATCCTTTGCCCCTTTCAGGTCTAAAACATTTTTGGAAGGCAAAATGTTCCCTGTTCCACATACCTTAATAGGACTTTTTTTGCATGCTCCTTTACTGTGATTTGAGCTTTCATCATATCAGCATCATAGGCCAACTCCCTCGGGCTCTGAGAAGACAGAATATTAGATTTTCATCTAATATTTAAAATAACTTTTTGAGTTTTTAGTAGCATTTATTAAATTGTACATAGTAGAGGGTTTTGTCATTTTAACCAATGCAGAAATTTTATTTAGTCATCTTCACCTCTCCACCTCTGTAGTCCCTCTATTATGTCCTTGGAGGTTTTGTTTTGCTTTCCTTAGCTTCCACAAATGACAGAAAATATGTGGTACTTATGTTTGTGGGACTGGCTTGTTTCACCACATATACATTTTTCAGCAAATAACATTTCATTCTCAATGCTCAAGTAAAATCCGGGCATGTATTTATAATCTATTTTTTTTTAAAAACTGGCAAATTGGCTCACCAGATTCTTTTCAAAAGAAGTCCAGATGGGCTGGGAATGTGGCTTAGTGGTAGAGTGCTTGCCTAGCATGCATGAAACCCTGGATTCGATTTCTCAGTACCACAGAAAAAGCTGGAAGTGGCTCTGTGGCTCACGTGGTAGAGTGCTAGCACAGAGAGAGCTCAGGGACTGCCCAGGCCCTGAGTTCAAGCCCCAGGATTGGCAAAAAAAAAGTCAAGATCACAAATGAAAAGAGAATTGTTTGACATGTAATGGAACTCCTTATTCACTGTGAATGGGAATGTAAACTAATTTAGTCATTATGGAAATCAGTATGGTGGTTTCTCCAAAATTAAAAATAGAACTCCAAAGGAGTTACTAGAGAAAGATATTGGTACACTCATCCTTAATGTTATGCTATGCACAATAGCCAAATTTTAGAATCCAAATTTTTTGTCCAGAAACATTTAACAGGTTTGCCGGACACTGGTGGCTCAGGCCTGTAAGCCTAGCTACTTAGGAGGCTGAGATCTGAGGATCGTGGTTCAAAGCCAGCCCAGGCAGGAAGTCCATGAGACTCTTATCTCCAATGAACCACTCAGAAAACTGAAAGTAGTGCTGTGCCTCAAGAGATAGAGCAGTTGCCTTGAGCTGAAGAAAAAAAATAACAGGTTTATTTATAATTGTTGTAAAATTGAAACTTGTTCGCTGAATTTTGGGGTGGGGGGCGGTCGTGGGCTCTGAACTCTGGGCCTGGGCACTGTCCCTCAGCTCTTCAGCTCAAGGCTAGCACTCTACCACCTGAGCCACAGCACCACTTCCAGCTTTTTCTGCTTATATGGTGCTGAGGAATGGAACCCAGGGCCTCATGCATGCAAGGCAAGCACTCTACCACTGAACCACCTTTCCAGCCCCTCGCTGAAATATTTTTATTTGCATTAATGTTTTATATCCCTGTAGTTATGCTAGAAATTCACACAATAATGGAAAAACTGCCAGTACCTGATTTCTGTCCCTTATTTTTCCACTGACAATCACATACTTGTCACTTTTTGACCCAGTGGGGAAAACAGAATCTAACATTCAAAATTGCCCATAACAGGAAAGGGAGGGGGGGAAGAGGACCTTTTTGAGAATGAAATGCTCCCCCTTAGTGGCTTTACGCACATTCTCCATGTATGCAGCATGCTAGCTGGGTAACTTTTTTGCATAATTGTCACACAGTTGGCAAGGACAGCGCACATTAGTATCTCCAAACAGGCCAACCAGATAGGACCTGCTTGCCTCCTGCAAAGCACCAATAGTTGTGTGTTGGAAGCACAGATCTGTTTGGAAGTCCTGAGCAATTTCCTGCAGCAGATGCTGGAATCAGCTAGCAGAGGATTTCTGAAAGTCTCTAATTTCACCAAGCACCTCACAGTACCACGCCTGTAATAATGAGGTTCCTTCACTCCTCCAGTAGAGGGCGTGCTCTTGCGGCTGCTTTTGTAGCCACAGGATTCCTGGGTGCTTTACCACCAGTGGATCTGCATGGTTGGCTTGGTATGAACCATGGTTTCCAGGCCCTACTTCCCCCCTGTTCCTTTGGCTGCAGCTAGGCTAGCCAGAGGCAGCGCTGGCAGCAGAGGGCGGTGGTGTATGGCTGAGGCTGCAAACACAACCTTCTCAAGTTTTACAAAACATTTCTTTGATTCAAAGCTAGTGAATTTTATTTTATGTACTATTTGGCAAAATGACATTTCAGAGAGTAAGAGGCCCCATGTTGTAAGGAGCCATTTAATATTTTTAAGCCTTTAATTTCTTTAAGCCAAAGCTTAAAGATATTTTTTTCTAATTGAAATGTGCTTAAATTTCTCTTATTAAAGCCTGAAACAAAAATTTATTGTAGTAGCTATAAGAAGTAGGAAATGCAGATTCTAAGACTTTTATCTATACTATCTAAAATGCCCAGCCATTTATTGCATTGGAAGTACTGGACAAATTCCTGCTCCACCAATAGAAAGCCAATACATGTTCTGAGGGAAAGTATCAAATCTTGGAAAGGCTGAGAGTCAGAACCTACCAACAACTTAATCATTTCTGCTTGTCTTAACTGGTGTCCTTCTCATGTGTCACTGTACAGTAAGGTGAAACCACAACATTCTTTTGTCCACTGTATCCAATGGCATCTTGGATGTATACATGGGCACTTGTGACTTTACAGTCCATGGTTGCAGCATCTGAGCTAGGACCACAGTGGTCCTTCTGTCTGGAAAGTATTGCAAACCGCTATGGGCACCTTATCCCACAGCAACCGGGAGCAAGGCAATGATGGAAACCAGACCGTGAAACTGGTTTCAGGGTACCGGGGCCTGTGTCTCTCACCTGCAACAGACGCCCAAGGTCCCATTACACAGAGTCTTTATTGATTGTGACAGGGGAGTACGTGCAGAAAGTAAGGTAGCAATCTCTTTGAAGTTACAGACACCAGCATGGGAAGCAATTCTAGGATGAATGACTTCCTTATCTTAGGAAGCAGG